AAAAGAAAAAGCTCGTCAAATTGGAAACGGATTTGAGGCAGATTTACGCAATGTGTGCCGTAATTTTGTGCCCTAAATTGTATTTTAAACTAAATATCAATATTACGGCAATATCGCCACGTGCGCAAAATATATATATATATATTTTTTTTCTCATCATTGACTGAGATACTAAATCGATGTTCAGTCTCATCGTTAAAGATGAATAAACGTTTTGTACGCGAGTGTTCGCTTCCGTCAGAATTTCCTGTCAGATTTTGTGTTACGAACCCGATATCCGGGGATATTACGAGAAAAGATTTTGCTCATATCTCGAGAGATTAGGTTTCAACGATCCGGGGGACTCGAACAATCATTTCGCCATCCGTTGGCACGTCCCGCACAGCGAACGTCGGCAATATGTTGGGTATTATAACGGGGAGGAACGCGTTATACATGAATCTGCAGGGAGAAAAACGCGTAAGATTGCCAGCTCAAGCGACGAACGATAACCGATATATATATATATATATATATATATATATATATATATATATATTTTACCGATATATATATATATGTTTTTAAAAATGTTGCAAAACAAATTCGAGAGATGATTTTTTTAACTATCTGCGTATCGATTTTTTGTCGCAAAGTGAAACACGCGCGAAAAAAACCGTAAAAAAAATCGCAGTCAAGTAAATATCGATGTCTGTGTGATATTTTTCAAATTAAATAAATCGAATTAATATTTCTCGCGGAATCTTTAAATGTTGATTTCCCCGCGGAGAGAAAAAAAGAGATTAACTTTTTCACTTCATTCACGAGCAAATTATAGCCCGTATAGGTTTTCAATTTCACTTCGCTCGGCAACGTATCGCTCCAAATATATCGGAAAATATAACGCGTTGCGCGTACAGTTTTAATTAAATGTATATTTAACGTGAGAGGTTGCCTCGTTATGCAAGATCGTTCCAAATTCCGCCTCTTGTTCCGTGTTCGCAATAAAAAAAATAAAAAAAAAATGTAGCGTAGAATTTTTTTTGTTTCGACGACGGCCGCTTCTATGACCCCGGGAGAATTGTGCATCGTAAACATATTTAGAATTCTTTTTTCCGATGTTCGCTTTTAGCGTCTTCTGGATCTTTATTAAAAATTTCATATTTTTGTGCTTTCTCATTGATTAACCGATTCTTTCGGAGACTTCCACTTTGTCCGGATATATTATGTGACGAGGCTGAAAAACATTCAGAAAAAAGAACTTACAAAGAGCACGATGTTTGACCGTCGGAAAGGACGACCCTTCTGAAAGCTTTTTTTTTTCCTCGTTTATCGCATCATCCCTCAATATTCCCCCTAGGAAGGCCAGCTAGTACACTCGTTTTCGCGACCTACGTCATTTGCCGTCGCTCCCTCTTCTCGCTCTTTTCCCCGTCTTATATTACCCGTGGAAACTTTTCTCTCGGTCGTTTTCAGCAGAAAACAGCTTTTTTTCTTCGCCTAAAACCCCCGAACAAATGCATCCCACGCGAGTTGTTTTTTCTTCTCGCCGGAACGCATCAATCTCCGTTGCCGGGGAGGTTCTCCGTTCGACTGCGGCGAAGCCAAGCTTCTCCTCGGGAGCTTTTAGTCGTCGTGTTTAGGTATATTACGCGCGAAGTAAAATTGTATTTTAGCAACGGACAGATGTTCCGCTAATGAGAGAATAAATATATCGAGAGACCGGGAAATAAATAGATCACCCTCTTGTGTCTCGAACGTCGGAGCGGAGTTTTAAATAACGCGAAAACGCGCAAATATAATCTCTCGCTTGCGAAATTTTACATCTCGCAGAATAGCGGCAAGAACAAACACGTTGTGTATTAGTTTCATACTCTCGTACGAACTTGTACATACAAGTAAGTAGTGTGCGAATTTCCAATATAGTCTCATATCGCACGGCAGAAACGCAGCCGGGCGCGTAAATAATAATAGCGGAAAATATTTTTATCGTCGCAACACCTTCAGACAGTCTTCGTCGTCGTTCTTCAAAAGAACTCGTCAACATTCATTCACGAGAAACGGATTCAACGTGTCCGCTCCTTTCCCGATTCTCCGACAGTGTACTCTCACATATATAAGAGCATCCGCCGTTAAATAAGTCCGCCCCCCCGTCGTCTTATATACGCGTGAGACGACGCGCGCGCGCGAGTGAAACTTATATTAAACCTTAGAATTACCTGAGGTCTTTCAGAAATTTCTCTCCGAGATTGCGTTTATAAATTTTCCACGAAATTTCGGTACTTTCCACGTACGAAAGAGAGAGCCTCCCGTAAACATCGCATCCATCCAGAAATTATGCTGACGATATTACATCACACACTACACCGCGCGCGCAGTTTATCGTTCACTTCACGGATAACGTTTCGACGTCGTAAACGACGTTTGTGCATCTCCGAAACCTGTTCGAGTAGTATTTTAAGTGCTTTCGATGGAATTTGCTTCCGGTAACTAGTTACGCGATAACTTTCGTCGTTTCCGCACGTTAACTGCCGCGGCGGGCTCTCGTGAAAACTGCATTCCGGGGCCGGCTCTCTCGGTATTTTTTTTTTTTTTTTTTTTTTCTCTCACTTCCCCCCGTCTCCCCCCTGCCCCAGCTGTCGCTCCCTTCTACTTTCTATTATATATCTCTGGTTCCTGATTTTC